CCCGCCCCCCAGCCGGTGGACGGCTGGTGGGCCGGGTGTCCCCGTGGAGTGGCACGCCCCAAATGACTTGGTAATCTGCGATCGCTCTCTCAGGCCCGACCTCCACAGAGTTTCAGGTTTTCCTGGTCTTTTCCTCTTCTTTCGCACCACCATCTGAGTTTTCTTGCTGCGAGCTCTGCCATGCCGCCGGCTGCTTCAGGCGACGAGCAGTCCCCCGAAGTCAAACCATCGACTTCGACATCCAACCCGACATCAAGCAGTAGTAGCAGTTCGATTCTGAAGGAAAGGCGGTTCAAACTGAGCAGGTACCATTCAGCTTACAATTTCTGTGATTTTTATGCACTCATCAATATTCTCAGAGCCTGCGATCGCTGTCGGTAAGCAATGTATTGCAGCAACATCGTCTCCAGCGCTCATCGCCTCGGACAGCCGCCGAAGGATAAAGTGTGACGAGGGCCATCCTTGCCAGTCATGTCTTACCTCAAACTCGGCATGCACATTTGAGGAGCCGGGAAAGAGGACGCATCCACACAAGTCAAAGTGAGTCCCCGTTCACTTTTTTGCCTCAATGCATCTATGCTTGGTGGGGTGAAAGAGAGAAGAGTTGATGTGATTGGAGAATCGGTGAACGCCGCGGTGTCCTCGCACAGTGCTCTCGTTGGCCGATACAGCAGACAACATCTGTCCCTCTCGGCCATTCAGAGACGGAGTCTGAGTTGCGGGCGGATCATGCGACACCTACTTCGCTCCCAAGTGAGCATATCTACGTGCGCTGTCTGGCGTTGCGTAATCTCTGTCGGATTATCCTGTCTACTCCTCGGGCCGCTGTCTCATTTCCTGTCCCTGGGGATCCGAAGTGTGGGGGCACATTCGCTCTTCATGGACGCTTGGGCTACGCCCACTCCGAGGTGCTTGGAGAAGTGGGTCGATTCCAGCTGAGTATTCTCAGTAGTTCGAGCGTCGCCCAAACAATCTCTACCTGCGTTGCTCCACTCTGGGCAGCGAATTTATTTTCTGACTTAGTCGGAAATTCTTGAGACCATTGGCTTGTTTGGACCTTTCTCCATTCCTCAGGCGTTGGAGGCTCTCGGCAGCAGTCGCTGCGCATATTCGTCATGGGACATGACTAGTGCATATCTATATGCGCGTCTTTTCCGTTGTGTATAGGGCAATTGCGACTTCTGCAGATGTGCAAGGCAGCCTCGGGCCGCTATCTACCCCTGCATTCTTGGGCGTTTGGAGTGTTCTATCGCAGATGACGCTACTTGGGGCTTATTCTGTGCTTCTTGCTACTTAGCGGGAAAGTGGCGGAGTACAACAAGTTTCTCCATTTGCAAAGATATACTTCACCGCCTTCGGGGCTTGGACACTTGTCCAACCTTCGACTGGGGCCGGCAAACATTAGTCCGGACTGGTGTGCCGGTGTAAGACACGTTACGCTTCGCCTATATGCCTTCTTTTAGCCTTTTACCAGTGCGCTGGGACATTTGTGACTTCGGTGCCGGATCCTGTACGCTTGGGTAGATGCTCGCCACTTGGCATTAGTGAGCTTAGTGTGATGGCGGATTTAGAGCGGTTGGTGAAGAGAAGAAGTTGCAGTTTCGCTGGAGAGCTCGTTCTCGTCTTCTACATCCTGCACGCTCTGCTCGGACGCTAACTTTCGCGACAGGCGCGCTGCAACACTTGAAGATCGCATGCACCATTTAGAAACTCTCATACAAGCGATCCCACCTGCTGTCTTCGCCGCTGGAGGCGCATCTGGCGTCCCTCAATCACCTGTGGACCCCACGACGAACGCGCACGCTTCGTTTGCCTCTTCCACACATATATTCCCTACCGCCGTGCCGCCCCCTTCGCTCAACTCGTATCCACTCATGAACCCTTCGACGTTCTTTGCACCGGTGAAGCCACGGAACGGCAGCCCCAACGGTGGGTTTCCTGTGCTGCAAAATGGCTCGGGGGGTTCGATAGAACATGTGTCGGATGATACGTCGCGTGTCGCGCTGTCGTCCTCATACCTATATTTCGACGATGAGGGCTATACAAGATGGCAGGGTGAGACGTCAGGGCTGCCATTTCTCGACTTACTCGTGGAGCGACACAACTTGACGACAAAACCTGACTCAGAGAGGACACCGTCTGCGAGCCAGCAGCAGCCTCAGTCATGGGTAGGCCAAAACGGACATGGACACGCGACAAGCGCTTGGTTCCCCGACCGCACACCAAAGAGGACGGATAACAATCCGGAGGTCATATGGAAGCTGATAACCTCGTTTATAGTTCCAGAATTGATGGACAGGTACCGTTCACAAGGACTGTGGTTAATATTGAAAGTAACTTGATGTACTACAGCTTGGTGCAATGTTTCCTCTCAACCTCGTACTATCTCATGCCGTTTCTGCATGTCCCAACGTTCCTAGCGGTACGCCGTTGCTGTGCACATTGATGATCAAGCTCACATTTACTTGCAGGATTATGGAAATCCGCGGAAATGGGGAGAGCCTGGATTTGCTTCTTTCATTGTGGCTATATGCTGCTTATCGTCACGGCATATTGACGACCCTCGCGTTCGATCGGATCCCAACGATGGTAACAGTGCTGGTACACAATGGTTCGAGTTGTTCGGACGACTGCGAACGCTGCCTAGCGCAGACCGACCCACGGTCTACACCGTACAAGCGGTCCTCATTGCTGGCGTGTACGCCGTCGGCTTGGGCAAGCTCTCCAGAGCGTTTGGTCTGCTCTCGGAGGCCGTAACGCTCTCTGTCGATATTGGGCTGCACCGTTCGGTTGATGATTACGATGTGTTCGATGCGATTGAAGACGAAGTGCGCAAGCGTACGTTCTGGTGCGTCTATTTGTGGGACAAGCAGGCCAGCTCGTACTTTGGACGCCCCTCGATGATGCGTCTACGCGATTGTGACGTCGGGGAGCCCGCAATCGTTGATGACGAGTTCATCACGAGGGACGGCGTCGGCCTGCAACCTGTGGAGACAGAGAGCCGTATGAGCGCCTTCGTCAGCTGCGTGCGTGTCTTCGTCGTACTGGAGTCTGTTGTGGACATCCCGCCTGCTCGTCACTTCGGAGAGGGGTCGTCTCCGTTCCTCGCGCGTGCGGCCGCCGTCGTCGGGGGAATCAAGCGAGTGAAGGAACTTCACGAGGAGGAGGCCCTCCTCGACGAAATTGTGCGCTCGATTCCTGCACATTGGGCACATTCGGTGGAGACCATGACGAGCGACGATGTCCTACGTGTCACACAGGCAAACCGCTTGCATTGTGCAGAGCAATATACACGAATGCTCATCCATCGGCATCGGTTTTCGGAGCTGGTCGCGGAACGCACACAAGGCCAATATAGCAGCGGGGAGCAGACAGACGCGGAATGCGAAGCCATGCGATCCGCACACGCCTGTGCGCTCAAGATAATCTCGTCGCATCTGCACATTGCTGCGAAGGGCTTGATGACCTATTGTAGGTTTTTCTAACTACTGTATGTTATGTGTTCTGATTTCCTTTGGTAGACGGCGTGCATGTGATTCACCAGCTTACAGCTGCTGGACGGACTTTGGTTGCCGTTTTATTATGTTGTCATCAAGAACTCATGCAACCCTTGATTGCCCCAGGTCTTGAGGCTCTGCGGTCTTGTGTGGGGCTGCTGAAGCGCTTCAGTGGCCGGTATGTATGCGGCCAGCGCTCAGGGGATCTAATGGAAGAGTTCTGCAGATGTACGTATACCCTGAGAACATTGAGCGATGTCTGATTTATTGTCTTTTCCAGTAACTCAAATACCGCTCGACGCATCTCGAAGTTTGGATGCACCGGGGACCAGCAACCGGCCACCATGGGTCCGGCCAGCTCGCAAAAAGACGCCTTCTAGCGCCCGCTCTCCGGGCAATTCTGCAGATTCGCCCTCACATGCCGGCAGCCCAGAAGAGTTCCCATCTTCAGATGCATTCCTCGATCTGCGCGGGACGAGCCAGGAGCCGGCACCGTTTTCACCTTCGTCTAATCCATCTACTCAGGGCGTCGCCCACGCACTTTCGCAAAACGCATTTGGCATGGGCGGCCCGTCGAATGGTGCCGTGCAGTCATTCATGGACACCTCTGGTAGCATGGATATGATGGCTACGGATAACCCTTTGTCTATGTCTCCGTCGGACATCTTGGCACTCTTCAGCAACGATGGATCGGTAGACATGACGTCGCTGCTGATGTCGCCTCATATCGGAGGGTCGTCTGAGCCGCCTAGTGGGGGCGGGTTCTATAGTATGACCCCTACGGCAAGTGAGAGCGGTGCTGTCAGTATGGTTTCACCTTAGCAGGAGGTTATGGCTGGCCGCATTTCCTCATATTGGTGCTATTGGTTGTCGTGTTCTCGTGCTGTTTGCTTCTCACTTGTATATGTGTAAGAACACCCAGGTGTTATTATGTTGCGCGTTCGTCCACAATCTACGTTCTGTTGTATACCATTCTTTTTCTCGTGTATTAGTTCATGGGTCATCTGCTCGGCTGTGCTTGGTGTGCCAGTGACCATCGCTGCGTCGCCAGTCGATTGACAAGGCATTCGATCAGACTCGATACACTGTTTCCATAACGAGTGTGTTGCGCTGAAGAATCTGAACTCAAGGAATATCAACCTATAAAAACTGAGTATGTGGATGTCTTAGATTCAGTCTGTTTTCTCTCTGCATGGACGCAAAATATTGTTCGTGATTGTCTCCGTCGTTCAAGTGAGACTGACTCACGCGAGAGCAAACCAAACCCACGTGCTAGGAATCGATGATGAGCATCTCACTCAACCATCTCACCGGAGAATATGGCTTCTTGTGAACGTCGAGAGTAGGATCTATTACTAGAAGGTAAGGTCAAGAACGTTAGTGAATTGAAGTACAGAATAATACTTGCGCAGATAAATCAATATACGTTGTAAGTAGCTCTCCTTGGCTGGGAAGACCTCCGGTTTTGTCGTCATTGTCACTATACCGGCTAGTTCCCATCGTAAGTGGGAAAAACAATGTGATGTTTCTCAAAACGGATATGCAAGAGTAGAAAGCTCCTTACCTGTTGTCACTGCGTTCGAGTTCTAAAAGGGAGACGACCGCTGCGGATGAAGCCATCACGCTGTCGCGCATGCGCAGCATGTAAGTTGTATGACGAACCCCCATAAGCAAAGCAGTCATGCCTGATTCCCCGAGCTGTAGACTTGTCGGAAGGTGTCCAAGTTCAGACAACTACAATGGGCATACCTGGCACGATAAAGAACAGAGCCATAACTGCTGCGCATTATGGACTAGAACATCATCATCATGAAGCATACTGTCTGGATATCAACATACGATTAAGGTTAATCGCGGCAAAAACCTAAATGCTCCAAGCGCTTAGTTCGTCTGGCACACATGAGATGAAAGTGCGTACCACTGTAGGGACATTTGATACGACGGTGGTGACTAAATACCAAAACCCCTGCTGGTATACCTTAGTCCACAGTCGTGTACCAGCCGCATCGGCCTTGAGCCCTAGCCCAATGAGGGTGAAGACCAGGATAAAGAAGTCACAGAAAACAGCTGAGGCAGTCGAGGGTTCCGCGCCACAAATTTCTGCCCTCAGTACCTCGCGCCCGTGCATAAGAAATTAGGAATTTACGCAACTATAGAAGAAGAAAACCGTGAATGCATCAAAAGTGTTAGTACGAATCCGACTGCACAGATCACCCAAAACTACGGGCGCTTCATTGGCATGTACGCTGGTCGAACCGACTGGACGTGAGTGAGTGGAGTGCTCAGTCTGGTACTTACTAGACGGTTACATACATATGAAGCCGAGGAGCCATTGGGCAGCACTCAAGAAAATAAGTAAAGCCCGCACGAGCTGGTTGTGCTTCCAGAGTGCCAGCCTTATATTTATATGTACATGAATCGATCAGAGTATGGCACAAAAGAGATCGTGACTGTACATACGTGCGAATGAGAAGGTTCGTCGATGATGCTGACACGGAGATGTTGGTCAACGTCTAAGAAATTGATTAGAGTCGCCATGAAGACAGAACCAAGATGCTTCACTGAGATAGCCCGAGAAGCAGCTTAGTTGAGGCATATACTATCAGCTTGATAACTGCGCCAACAAATACATACTCAAGGCTCACCGATGCAATTAATAGAAAGAGTGGGAGATTTCACCATGATAACTCTGTTAAGATGTTAGCCGCGTAGATGGCTGCCAAAAACGTGGTTTTACAAGATTATTGAAAGAACCAACAGGGCGTATCGCCCAAGTAGATAGGGAACCTGCGACGATATCGTCTGCATTCTGAAGCCATTAGTTATAACGTTAGAGAAACATACATGGATCATCCTGAAATTCATTCGTTGGGTGACGAGCGGCCACTCAACATGATGTAGTGTCTGGAGATACTGCCACCTAACAGTAGTGATCAAAATGCACATGATAATAAAAACTCATTACGAACAAGCCATACCCATAAAAGCCCAGAAAGTAAACCAGCAGTCGGGCATATATCCATGATGAGAGCTGCACTACTTCTTCGCTATCCCAGTCGGTCATTGAACGCGTCTGTAAGGCTCAACTGTGGGGCCAAGTCTGAAAGCGACGCTTTAGAAAGACAGACGATGCCAATGATGCACTAAGATATTTGGAATGGGAAATCGACGTCCACTTTACTGAGGGCAGCAAGCTATGTGAGTAGCCAGGGCAATATGCAGCAGTCAAATATATGCAACGTCGGAGCGAATACTTTACAGCCGGTTGCAAATGCACGATTCCTCCTATAAGCGTATATCTTCCGAGAGGACCACATGCCGTCAGGGAGCACTGTGCAATGTAACTTTCTGTAGAAATAGTGAACGGAATCAAGTCTACCGTGTGAACCGGGCTCAGCGCCCAATTCCGGACTGTGATGCGGAACACAAACCCCACGCATGTATGATCGTGAGTCAATAAGGCGGTCCCATTGACGAACTGTGAGATTCTAGGGATGCCGAGATATTGCTAGCGTGGTAGCTGTGCACACTTGTCCAGCATGGTTGTTCACGAGCTAGAAGAATCTACGCGCTAAGTAACAGAATAGTCGGCAGCAAGCTTGACGTCTTGACATCGGCGCCGACATTTTATTTCCGATAGCGGTAACGTGTCCGCGTTTATTGGCCTGTAAATTCTCGAAGACAGAACGCGGCTGGCAGACTAGGTGTAGCATCAATTGCGTAACATACAGTATAGTAGTGCGCGTAATAAATATTGTCCTTGGAAGTGATGTAACGCGCTTTTCGGTTGCGAATCGTATGAACGAGCCACTCGTCACTTCAAGTTTGGCTCACAAACTTGAAGCGTCCATGATATAAGTTTAGTATCGATTCCATCATCTAACTGGCCGAAGCACTGGTCCTACGCATCAGATAATCTTACCGTGCTTCGAGAGATGGATCTAAGCCATAAGATAGGAGATATATCAGAGATTCATGCGAAAAATCGCGCGCACAAGTGCTCACTCACGTAGATAGGTCGACGTCAATGTACGTGGTAAGAGGTCCTTCCTCAGAAGGGCCTTCGCTTTTGCTCGTCTGGTAAACTTCTCCATCAGGATCGCTGTAAACGTTCCGTTGGCAACCGACGTCAAAAAAAGCAGCCAAGACATCAGTCATGAATCAATTCAAGCAGGGATGAGATCCAGTTCCTCACCTGTCGCCACCATTTCTCATTTCCATGAGCGATATAACGGTCGCTGATGAAACTATAACGCTGGGGAACGCGTTGTATCATGGAATGTCCGTGAGCCCTGCAAGCAGCGGATGCATACCTGACTATCCTCGCTATAGGGAATGTCAAGCGATTGCGAATGAATCATGTCATATAACATACCCACTACAACAAATAGCAACGCCATAAATGCTGCACGAGAGTTTTATTCTCTCATATCAGGGCAAATGGGTAGGTACATACGGTTGGAGTTGAGCGTGGAGAAGATCTGTTATCTTTTTAGACGCATAGTCGGTCTAGAATGATTTGAATGGGCGAACGTACCAATACAGGTAAGTTCACCACCACTGTAGTACAGAGGTACCAGAACCCTTGGTCATGAATTTTGTCCCACAAACGTGTGCCAGCATCATCGGCCCGAAGACCCAACCCGACAACGGTAGCCACGAGGATAGTAGTATCACAGAAGACAGCTGCGAGGTTCACATTAATAATAAAAGGCACAACACACAACTCGACTCACTGTAAGAGAAGAATATGGTATACTCATGGAACGTATTGGGGTAAAGTGGACCGCATAAGGGCTTCACATTCGCATTCGCTGGGCGGATGCTCATTGGGCCAACTAGAATGGGATGAGTTCAGGATGAAGTTTTGGTGCCGAATAACCACAAACGAGTGAGCCCAACTAGCCAGTGAGCGGCGTTCATGAGAATCAGGCTGACTTGCACGATGCGTTTGTGCCTCCAGAGCACTAACCTGTCACAAAGTCAGATTCTACACCTGATTACAATCAATGAGTCGTAAACGTACGTTCGAGCGAGAAGGTTTGTGGACGACGCAGATACAGTAGCACTATTCAGCGCCTAGAAAGTGTGCTCCAGCTTCATTATCGTGCTGACAATAAGGGATAGTTTACCGAAAAGGTACGGTAGATAGCTACATCCAAGTCTCGCACATCAGTACGGCGAGCATGGAAGGTTACGTGGGCCTCACCAATACAGTGCACTGGCAGAGAGGAGGAACTCGAGAGCACGACCCTTTTGAACATTTCGTCAAGGTGACGGACAGAGGAGAGCAATAAATCTATACACAGCAGTCGTCAAAACTAGGAGGGCATGTCGACCCACTAGATAGGGTATCTGTGGATGAATGTGATCAGATACATTGACGAACATTTATGCGTTCTAAGACCGTACGTAGATCAGTCGAAACTTCAATTTCCCGGTAACGAGCGGCAATTCTACATGGTGCAAAGTGAGAAGATATTGCCAGCTGACAACAGCATTGAGAAAGATGAAAATGCATTAAAAGAGAGGTACTGACATACCCATAGAAACCAAGAAAGAATGTCAGCAGTCGAAGGTATAACGACGTTAAGAGGTGCAAAATTTCTTCGCTCTCCCAGTCGATCATGTTGAGCTCCTATTGCGCATCGAGGTTGAAATGAGACACGTTGTAGAGGAAGAGATAATCCGACAAACCTGGCGGTGACGCGAAAGAGTGAGAGTGTGCGAGATCCGAAAAACAGGCTCCACTCCGAGTCTCGAAGCTTTTCAATACTGCCATGCGCAACCGAACGTATACGCAAGACACTGCTAGACATGACAGCGCGTCATGTTAATCCCGGCGGCCCGATGGACAGACTGGCACTGCAGCCGGACTGGCATGAATCCCGCAAGATGTGTTACGCCCAGATGCTCGGCAATTTGGCCAAATATGACATTTGTAAGGTGATGGCGACCAGTGACCACCATAGCATGGGCTCTGCCGATGCCCTATTCTAGCAAGGCTAGACCCATTATTCAGTAACTGAATGGGCTCAAGCTGAACTTACGGAGCGTTCCGTGGCACGGAGCGCCCGGTTGTTCTTCCCGGGCTCTGACAGACATGCACGACCGAAGTAATTTGCAGTCTTTCCTCTCTATTCGCGCCATAGGTTGGGAGCTCCATTTGGTTGAAGAGGCAATTTCACGCCCGATGTCATGTTATACCAACTTCGCGCGAATCTTGGCACATATCCACCGGCGAAGTTCCCCGCGCACCAGCAGAGCAATTAGAACGCGGATGTCTGCCTGGACTGAATATGGGTAGTTCCCGAATATGACTGCAAAAAAGCCGCTGGCTCAATCAACGCATGACATCGAACATTAGGCCCTTTGATTTGCTTTATAACGCAACTGTTCAACAAGCATATTCGTAGCCTGGAAGAAAGTATCGCAAGAGCAAAAAGCGCCCGATAATCTTACACCCCTAGGATTGCTCCATTGTGATCGTCGTGGTATCCACAGCATGGCTGGGATGTTCGCTTATATGGTCATATGATAAAGAGCTAGAACGGCAATTTATAAATGTGATAAGACGGTTCATCAGAAAATGACAAGGCATACCGAGCTAATTCAATGTGCGTCGTTAGCGTATCCTCCTTGCCCGAAGTAGCATCTCCTGCCCCCGTTCGCCTAGTATTACTGCGCATGCCACATGCACAAAGCATTTCAATGATGCAGGATGCAGATACCAGCGTTTGAAGAAGTTGCAATCGTGAGCCCTCTGTGGAAATGTTCAAGCCAACTTCCTTACCTTCCGTCCTTTTCCAATTCCATCAAGGAGGTAACAGCTACCGACGAAACGATCACACTTACAGTCTGTCGTCATGACCAAATTTGCACGTCCAACACAAGCGAGCCATTTACCTAATAGTCGTAGCTATAGGACGCATATCAGATAACGCAAACATCGTGATAGCGATTTGCAGACACACCTGATACAGCGAACATTAGATCCATGATAGCTACATCGGACGTAACTTCAAATTATTGAACCCAGACTGATAGACACTTCGACGCACGGTTTAGATTGAACCAGGCCAAGATCTGTGCGCATAAAGGTTAGTTAAGACTTTTGATTCCCTTGCAACCAGGACGACGTACTGCAACAGGGACATTTGCTAGTACTGTCACAATCAAATACCAATAATTATGCCGGTATACTCTCAACCACAGCCGCGTACTCGCTGCATCGGATTTAGAGGCAAGAGCGACGATGGTGAAGATAAGGATGCACGAGTCGTGAACAACTGCTGTAAGTCCAACACCAAAATGACAATGTCAGCCCCTGAAAAGATGACCGAGCTTATCATACTTACAATAGAAGAAGAAAATCGTTAGTTCCTTGTGACTGTTAGGGAAAACACCACCACACTGAGACTCATGTTCTGACTCGACGCCGGAGCTCAGGATGCCAACTGCATCAAATAACTGTGGGCATTAGGAAACGTGGCATGTTAATGAATAACTCACATATCAGCCCGATTATCCACTGGGTAATGCTCATGAGGAGAAGTGTGGCTCGTATGCCCTGCTTGTGCTTCCACAGCGCCAGACTTGAATTGCTTCTCAAAGCATGACCAGAAAGCAAAACGCAGAGACTCACGCGCGAATGAGGAGGTTCGTTGAAGAAGCAGAAATCGCGACATTACCAAGAACCTGTAGGACGTTGTTTAGCATATCATTACAGTAGTAATAACAAGAATTCGCACATTGAAAAAAGTGAATGCAACTAGGATTAGGCGCGAAGTTGTGACCATGAACATGCAAAGCAAAGGATGAACAGAATGTACCGGCACAATTAATCCGCGCGTCCGTAATCCTGGTAACTATAACCCTGGACAAACGCAGGAGTGTCAGCATATATCAACGAAGAATACAGCCGACTCACAAAGCGAAGCAGTTGGCCAATTGAGCATATCTCCCAATGAAATAGGGGATCTGTCCGATGGTGAGCACACTGGACAAAGTCTTCAACAGAAACCAACCCCTGGCAGCCTACATAAGATAAACGGAATTTTATCCTGCGAGTAAGGAGCGGCCACTCTACGCAGTGTAGAGACGTTAAATACTGCCAACTATGAGCAGATCGCCGGTATGTTTCAACGCCTTCGCCCAGAAGAGATAAGAATTGGATCCGCACGAATAAAACCCAAGAAAGAACAATTGAACCCGGTCGAAAATCGAAGCTGTCAGTTTTAAGACATCAGGACTGTTCCAATCGACCATTTGCCCCTCCTCGGGCTCGAAGGAGATACAGGCGCGTTCCCGGGCTCGAAGCGCGCGGCCGGTCGCTCGTGCAAGATGCCAGCGTGTGCGACGTGAAGGTGAACGAGAAAAGCGGGGCTGCAATCGTCGGGGACGTCCCCGCGGCCGGCGCAGCACGACTGTAAATATGCAAATGCTCGTGGCACTGGCGAGTGGGCATCAGCGAAGATCAGGCTAGCCTTTTGTGCAGGCACCCCGTTTGCCTTCTGCTTGCACGGGCTAAAAGTGCGTCCCGTACGTCTGATGTGCCTGATTGGCTTGCCGTCGCATGCTGAGTCTGAGACCGCGCCGCTCGAGTTTCGGAACACGCCGACTCTCCGACTCGAGAATCGGCGCGGCTGCTGATGACCTATTCTGCGAATTCGCGGACCCTGGGCTTATCGTTGTCCTGGGAATTAGAACTTCATTTCTGCGACCTGGTAACCAACTGGCAACGGTTTGTAGTACGGCATGAGTAGGAATATAATTGCGCAACTGAACCGCCTGCGAATAACGTGATTATATGACTCCCTGCAAGGCGCCAAGGCAAAGCTCTAGTAAGATGGGCTGTACCTCATTCACTAGCAGCGCAGCCTAGCGTGTTCAAAAATTTCCTTCCTTCAACTTCTTTTTCTTCCGCTTTCTCCCAGACCCATCCTTCTCGTCATCCGCAGCAGCCTTGTTCAGCGGGGCACCTGCACCCTGGCTCTCATCTCGGGTCCTCTTTTTCCCGCCGACTTCGGATGCATCAGACTGTTGAGGCTGTGAGATTGTCGCGGGAGGAGTTGACATCGTAGGGTCTGAGAGAATATTGGCGTCTATTGTAGGTGGGGGAAGAGTGGGGGGCTGACTTGCAGATTCGGGCACGACAGCACCAGGAATCACAACTTTGGGTTCCGATAGCACTGCACGATATGTCCTACGAGTCTCTGTATGACGCATCAGCATAGGATGGCAAGCGGAACGCATATATGCTCACGTGCTCGCAGAATCAACGACTGGGGTACCTTGGTGGAGGCATCGTGTGCAATATTTTGCGCCAGGCCGAGGACTGTGATTCTTTGAATTCCAAAGCAGTAATGAATAAGGCCAAATACCAACATGATAAGAACTCACAAATTGGCCACATCCCGTGGCGCACGCAAGTCGGCGTCGTTAACTACACCTCCACTTACAAGAATGCCTTTCCCCTTCGTAACACGTACGACCTCCCTCGCGGCCGCCCACCAGTTGCGCCTGGCACTCGCACTCCCCTCGCCGCTGCCCCCGCTGACATCGCTCTCTGACCCAAGTGCACCAGCATACGCGATCTCGAACACTGCGCCGTTCTTGAGTGCAGTGCGCACGAGCGTGTGCTTCAGGTGGAACGGGAGGCGGGGGAGCGTCAGCGGGAGCGCAATAATATGCGTCGTGAGCGGGGATGGTTGTGTGTGCGTCAAGCACGCTTGCGAGAACGTGCCAAGTGTGGTTGGAAGGAGAGCGAGGAGGTCGTACGACGCGAAGAGAGCAGTATTCTGGTTCGTCTGTGGATCGTGAAGAGGTGAGTGGCGAATGCAAACGACAGCCTCTTCTACGCACCAGCCCAAAACCCTTCTCGCTCTCCTCATCTAGCACGATTGTCAGCCGTTTGAGCAAAGCAACACCCTCTCGCTTGCGGAGCTGCGCGAGGAGCGGGTCAAGGACGTTGACATGGTTCTTGGGGTCGACCTTCCGCTGTACGGACTGGTTGAACGCAAAAACGGTGTATCCTACTACGTGTTTTTTTGTTAGCGTTGTTCGCCACACAACCTCATGCACTGACAATGCACGAGCAGGTCGAGACGGTTTTCGATAGCGGATATCTGTGCGGGGGTGTACACAACAGAGGCCGCGTTTGCTTGCTGTTTCTCCTTTCCCTTTTTTGATGGTCCTTGAGAGGGACCCGGCCTGGATGATATGGGAGGTACAGGTACGCTGAGGTCGAAGAACATGATGACCTTATCCTTGAGCCGGCTGGCTGCGCTGAGCTGAGAATTGCAAAGCCGCCTTGCTTGAGCCTGAGGTTGCGACCGCCGACGACGTGCTTACCTGACTAAACAATCCTCGAGATAAGCTGCTGCCAATATATGCTCGAAAGTAGTACCAGCTATGCAATACCTCCTGCTGAGGTGGATCTGGTCCTAGGTTCTAACCGACAGGCTGTACCAAGTTCATTTTTGGAAGGCAATCCGGGTATTATAATTCCGGCATGCCATTTATTGTGAGCACTTAAATAAAGAAGGAATTAACGGCGCTTTGGAGGCTTGTAAATCAAAAGTACTATTAAATATAATATCCTTACTGCTTACTACTTGCCGTGTACTTATTCCCGATTTCGGCTAATGCTGCTAATCAACTTGTATCTTTCTGAGAATCTTGGTGGGTAGAATCTTCAGTTGATCCCCAGTGCGCTGCTTCACTCTCAGTTATAGACTAGTCGTCTAAATGCGCATCGGAGCACACTATAATACTCAGAAACTACTCAAGAACTGGTCCCGTACTTTCGGCATCTATTGGCGCGCACTTCACAGCGGGACACACATAGACCTGAGGAGGTAAAATAATGCATAACGGAACATATGGCCAAGTCGTCAAACCTCAAGGACGCTCTCGTTGGCGCCCCTTCCCTCATGACGTTTTCGCAGACCACTTTGTGCATGAGACCACGACCGTATCAATTCGGAGGGGACGAAGTCTTCTGACGGGTGTATTTCGCTAAGCAGCCATTTACGGACTGGTCGATGGCAGCGTCGAGGGCGGCGAGCATCATGAGAGGGATTTTGGTACGGAATCGAGGGCGGTTTGGGCGCCGAGACCAGATGGAAACGTCAGGTGGTTGATCAGCTGTGATTCCTGTCCGTTTTATCCCTACGCTGGCTTGCTCGCAGCGACGACGCCACTCTCCCAGACGAGTCAGGCCCAGCTGGGCTGCCCATCCCTCCGCTTCTCGCCCGAACCCCTCGGTTCAAACCGGCCGTTCGGAAAATGGTCGCATGGCATCCACCCTCCTATAAGCAGTAATTCCCAGCCCCTGTGTCCTCCCAAGCCCCTCCTTGCTCTCGACCTTAGCGTTGAGCTTGACGCACCACAAGGAGTGACCACCAGACACCCTCGACTCCAGTGTATATTCAAGCCAACGGTTGCTCGCAATGTCCAAGGCACTCGAGTCAGCAGCCGCGCTACCTGTGCAGCCACCTCCAGACGTAGCGCCGCCAAAGAAGAAGCAGCCGTATCCGTTCTGGCTCGGAGGTGCGCCCGGCTATCGTTTCTTCCAATTCAGTATCCAGAACTTTGACTTACTATGATCGCTGTGATCTTGTTATCTCCGCTGGGCAGGCGTTGCCGCAACTATCGCCGCATCCATAACCCAGTACGTAACTCAATCCCTTAATACCCGTGCTTCACCCCTGACTATTATGTGCATGGCGACTCTGCAGCCCCCTCGACCTTACCAAGGTGCGCATGCAAGCGACCGGCGACAAGGGCATGGTCCAGTCGCTTCGTAAGACCGTGCGCACGGCGGGCGCCCGTGGTCTCTTCGATGGTATCACAGGGACGTGGCTGCGGCAGATGTCCTACTCCCTGTGCCGCTTCTGGGCATACGACGAGAGCAAGAAAATCGTGGGTGCAGGTACGCCGTTTGTTCCGTCTCTCCGCTTGTCGATCTCACGTCTGTGTGTGCGGGGTAGGCTCCCAAGCGCCCGCGTGGAAGCTCGCGCTCGCGGGCAGTATGGGTGCGTCTATCTCTGAGCGTCTTCGTGCCAGATCTGAGCCATGTCCATCTGCTCGTAGCGGGAGGCATTGCCGGACTGGTCGGGAATCCGGGAGGTACGCCCCAGTGGCTGTATTTCATTTATTACCTTATGTATGTTATTTTTAGAGATCATCATGGTACGCAGTCGGTCCCGCCCCCGCATAGATCGGCTCGGTGACCTACGGCTATACGTAGGTCCGTTTGCAGGGCGATTTTGCAAAGCCGCCAGAAAAGCGACTGAATTACAAGCATGCCATCGATGGTCTGTTTCGCGTGAGTGTCTTTCGGAGGCATTCGCCACTTATATATAGGCTCTGACGATAATGTAGATGGTACGCGAAGAGGGATGGTCGTCACTGAGTCGAGGTGTTGGCCCCAATGTCTTCCGTGCGGTCCTCATGAATGCCAGTCAGCTCGCATCGTATGTTTTCTCGGCTAGGTACCGCATATAGCCACATAACGCCGCTATCGCAGGTATGATTTTACCAAGGCCGAGTTGCTGAAGACGGGATACTTTGAGGACAACATCAACGTCCACGTTGCTGCCAGTGTCGTTGCAGTACGCTTGTTCTTTCTTTTTGACACTACTTTTGGCTTCATGCTGCGATAAGGGTACGGTGGCGACGACTGTCTGCTCCCCCGCTGACGTTATCAAGGTGCGTCCCCAAGCTCATTTTATATAGCTATCACAACTCATGCCTCCTGATTAGAGCCGTGTCATGAGCGCGTCGGGCAAAGATGGCGCTGTAAGTGAACAACACGCTAATCACACCCGCCTGTGCTAATCATAGACCTTTCCCCCGCACGAACTTGCTTCATCTGCATCATCGGCCCTGTCGTTCCCGTCGCGCACGCGCGAGGACAGTCGACGATGCAAGTGATCCGGTCGTCATTCCGCAACGAGGGCGCGATGTTCATGTTCAAGGGCTGGCTTCCCGCGTGGTCACGGCTGCAGCCCACGACCATTCTCATCTTCGTTACGCTCGAACAACTCAAGAACGCCGTAGACTGGACGCGCTCCATTCGCGGGCAATGAACTGCGGCTTAGTATCTTAGCCTTGGGGCGGTCGTGAGCGTTTGAGCTTACGCTCAAGATGCCCGACTCGAGGTGTTGAATGAGGATGGTTGAAGAGCTTGGATTTATACCAAGACAATGTATCTAAGTATGTGATTGTAGGATGTGTGCGATGTTGTTGTATGGTGTGCTATAGCTGTTGTTATATACCAGTATATCAAGTGTGACAAGTATGACACCGGGGTATTGCGGCCCCGGGTGTATGCTCCATCAGCCTGATGCCACTTTAACGAAGTACATTGATACAACATATAATCATCGGTCTCAAATGACGACCCTTTATCCATCCTAAAATTAGATATTACAGTATGTTGTGAATCCCCCGTAACTCAAGTAATGGTGCATCCCTCAGGAAGCTTTGGTGAGCCGTCTGCGCCGAATTCCAGTCCTGGAGGAAGCGAGCCCATGATGTCGGGTGGTGGCGAGCCGTGGCTCTGCATCTGATCGCCTCTCAGCACGGCATAATTCAGACTAAGCATGGGAGAACGCACCTCCGTCACGAGTGCGACAACTTGCGAGCTCTTCTGTGGGTCGTCGTCTGAGTAGGCGGGGTCGTCGAATATTGCGACGATTTGCTCGGAAAGGGCGTATTGTGCCTCGTACCGTTTTTTGTCATCGGCGGACAATGTGGCGGCACTGTCTTTCAGGTATTCTGGAAACTGGATACGAAAGTAGACACGCATTGGTCAGCATAAGGTTACCATTCCTATGAGTGCCTACCTTGGTATGCAGCTCCTTGAGCGGTTCATACAGAACTTCTTTGCTCATCAACTGGGACATCATCCCTTCGAGGAACTTCTGTAGATCTTCGTCGGACTCTCCGCTCAAGTCTCCGAGTCCGTCTGTTAATTGCGCCATGAGCGCCTCAATTGGGTCCTGTGCATCCGTCTATGGACGGTCTAGCGAGCTTCCTGCCCACAGATAGCCAAAACACGCACCTGCATATTTGAATCGCTCTCTTTCAGTTTCTCCATCGCCTTCTTTATGCTCGCCTGGAACGCGTCCGTCTCGCCCGCAGCGTCAGTGGCTCCAGGCTGCCCTCCAGACTCCCGCCCCTCGCCTTTGCTCGCCGCGCCGGCAAGGAGATCGTCCGGTTCCAACGCGCCGTTCATGCTCTCCACCAACATCTTCTCCCACGCAGCCTTGAATGCCTCTTCCTGCTGCTTCTCCTCCTCCGTCTGCACCCCGGCGCCACCCAGCCCCTTAGTCGCGTCCGCATCGAGCCCCGCGTCACCGGCGATCTCGCGCATGAGTGATTCCATGCCGAGGGTCAGCTCGCGTGCAAAGTCTTCTGACAGATCTAAGCCGAGCAAGCCTGGCTGTGGCTGCGCTGAGGCGGGTTTGCTCGCCGAGTAGGGCGCGGGCGGTGATGTGACCGAGGAGGAAGCTGCGGGGGCTGTCACTGGTGTTCGAGACTTGGTCGGGGCCGCAGAGAACTGCTCGAGTACATCTGTTGTGAGGTCAATTGGGCAGGGTGCTTCAGTGAGTGGTGGACAGACCGTCCAGGTCGTCCAGGTCCTCGTCCTCGTCTACTCGTGCTTTTGGCGGCGCAGACATGGTGAGCGACCCGAGACAATAAGTAGTCCTGGCGAGCAGGTGCCGGTGAGCAGCCAGAGTATATGTACGTCAAAGATTGAGGTGAACTCACGTTGTTAGAAATTCTAAGACACCGAGATACGAATCAGTACTTGAATGTCCCCTCTGAGAGGAGATAATGCGGGAACGAATTTTCGAAGGCTCTCGAGACCGGAACCAAAGGTGATTCGGGACAATCGTAAATCACAGGCTGGCGATTGCCATGTAAGTATGTAGTCTACAAAAGACTAATACGATAACGTTTACCTAGATCTAAGCTATCAGATAAGAATGACTTTACTTGTGATAGCTTCATGATGACACGTGATAACTGGTCCGAAGTTGCTGAAGCCCCGGCGACTGAGCCACTTTCACTTCCTACTCGACCATCTTGCTCGAAGACGCCGTGTGGGCATTAACAACACTTGTGTCCTGTGTGCACGATGTCATTGTAAAGTGTGCATGCTCAGCCATCTGTTTACTATACATTGCTGCGCGGTAGACTTGAATATCTCCGCAGTCTTAGGGCGAACACAAACGCGCGCGCAGCGACGCAACACCGCAGGGTCTTTCGTCCTCTCTCCTAGTCTCTGAAGCCTCTACGCCATGGAGGTCAACAAATTGTTTGGGAAGCTTCCCGGCCTAGGATCCGGTTCAGGCTCTTCTCTTCCATTCCCTGTGCTCTTGCTCGCTGGTTTGGCAACTGTGACCGCCACCGTCGTATCTGCAACGTCCATCCTCTTGCACCTGAAGAACTACCGCAAACCAGTCTTACAACGGTTCGCTCTTACTGTGACCCGTTTCTTTTTATGCTGCGCGCAGACTAAATGGCCTTGATTTAGGATGGTCGTTCGTATCATGGTTATGGTCCCGATATACGCCATATCCTCATTCATCTCTTTGTTTTCGCTACAAGCGGCGTTCTTTATTGACGTGATTCGCGATATCTATGAGGTATGTCCAAAACATTGTATTTATTTTTAAGAGAAGCCTATGTTAGATTATGAGTTGGAGGCCCAGGGGAAGAGGGTGCTAAGCTCATGGTCATGGACATCCCTATTAGAGGATATTTCAAGTGCCCAAGTCGCATTAGCGCACTTTTGGTCAGTCCCCCGAATGCGGCAGCTGGATGGCTAGCAGCTGTCACACATCTGTAGTCCAATCCCTGCCGAAGTTGATACATATACGGAGCGATCAAAAGAATGACTATAGCATATGTCCACGGGGTTGGCTGGTGGTATGCGGTACAGGTAGATGTTGACTCTTGACAGTCTGTACACGGCCCTCAGCAGATGTCCTGAGAAGCCTTTTGTAATGTGCGGAGGGCTTGTCGCATCATTCGACCTTTCGAATACTCCGCAGTTGATATACACTCAAGTGCTCGTGCATCTCTGTTTTCTCTGATTCGGGTTCTTTCTATTTGCACTATGTGGAATGAATGGTCTGTCGCTGATTTTGTGCTTGTTTTTAGGCATTCGTAATTTATTGTTTCTTTGATCTCCTCATTGCTTATTTGGGCGGGGAGCGGTCATTATTGATCCTCCTCCATGGTCGACCACCGAAATATCCAATATTCCCTGGAAGCATCTTCTGGAAAGAAGTTGACGTCAGCGACCCGCATACTTTCTTATTTCTGAAACGCGGGGTCATCCGTAAGCATATACCTTTGTCTGACCCTGGACCGATTTCTCAGGTCTTAGTCTACAGAATATGTGCAAGTAAAGCCGATGCTTGCATTGGTCACTATCATACTCAAACTCATTGGGAAATTCAACGAGGGCGACCTGCGCGCGAATTCGGGCTATCTATACGTGAGCATCGTATACAATACGAGCATCTGCTTGAGTTTGTACTGCTTGGCGATCTTTTGGATGTGTGTCAATGATGATCTCCGACCTTTTAGGTCCGTCTGGATTCATTTAGTGGTGTCTCTGCGACATTGATACTGATACTTCCCCAGACCAATGCCGAAGTTCTTGTGTGTGAAAGGCATTTTGTTTTTCTCTTTCTGGCAGTCCATTCTTATCTCGATCCTCGTGGCGGCCGGCGCAATCAAGAAACTGGGTCCGTACACAGACAACGAACACATTTCACTTGGTCTCACGGACACGCTCATTTGTCTTGAGATGCCCGTGTTCGCCGTGGCGCACATGTACGCATTCGCAACAAGGGACTTTATGGACCCACGCACGTCATTCGTAGCGCGGATGCCAGTGCTATACGCGTTTCGGGATGCGTTTGGGTTCAAGGACGTCGTGGAGGATATCAAGGCGACGTTGCGTGGGGAAGGGATGGACTACCGTGAGTTTGAACCGAGCGAGGGATTCATACACCAGGGTGCTGGTCGTGACCGGCGGATCAGAGCCGGGCTTCGGTACAGCCAAGGAGGGAAGAAGAAATATTGGCTCCCCCAACATGCGCCATCGATGCGGCCGCCAGGGGTCGTGGAACGACGAGTGAACAAGATCGTGGAGCGGTTCGCAGGACAAGATCAGGGTGAAGAAGTGTATGCGCCGTTACTTCCTGGCCAAGCGGAGGAGGTTGTGCATACCGCCGAAGACTTGTGGACATCGCAGGGCGAAGGGCCCAGCCTTTTTGACAGCGACCCAACAGAGGATGAGGGCTTTGGCCTCCACTTCGGAGACATTGACGAGGCTGATGAAGAGCTTTTCGAGCACAGCAAAAAATATCTATTTGGCGACTACCTCTATCCATCTGTAGATGTGAGCTCGGAGGCCGCCCGGCAGTCTATGTGGGATGAAGAGGAACGGATCCTACGGGACGAACGCGGCGCATACTTCTCGCCCCTCACGCGCCCCGGACGTGCGCTAGGTGCAGCACGGCAGAACTACGGCGCGATGGGCAACTTCCAGCGAAGCGTCATACGGGAAAGACACGACTCGAGCGGCTCAGAGTCGGGGCATGGCAAAGGGAAGACGCGAATAGAAGGCGGGATGGCGCAGCGCCAGGTGATCATCGACAAGGAGCACGACCGCCTGCCAGAGGCCAAAATGGGCGAGGTGAAACTCCGGTGGACAAGCAGGGAACATACGCCGGCGCAGTCTCCTCGCGCGCGCACGCTGTCCGCCAGCGCACAGCCCATCCTCGCACGGGCGTCGTCTTCGTCGACATCACCGACAGACAGTCCGCAAAGCCGTCAACCACCGCCGTCTCCAAGGAAGGAGACTGAGCGGGCCGTGTTGCCGCCCGATGCTGTCGACCTCGTCGTGGAGGACCACCATGCGGCCGAGGAGGAAATGACACACGAAAGGCGCAAGGGCGAACCCGCTGTGCGCGGTAGCGCGCTGCACAAAGTGTATCGGAGGGGTTATCTCGCCGAAGACGAGCAAGGACAGCGCGAAGAGGGGGAGGTTGAGGTGCAGGAGGGCGAAGATACCTTGTTTGAGGTGGGAGACGAGGTGGACGAGATCATCGGCGCCCAGGACGAAGCTGTGGGTGAGCTGACGGTGGTGACAGGAACGCCACTTGCACATGCGCGGACGGCGATGTTCAGCCCGGAAATTCTCGACGATGAGAATCCGTGGGCGTGATGCGGCGGACAGTAATTTGCATTCACCACTTGTACGGTTTACTTCCTTCTGCATTGGGAACATCAAGATATCACATACCGGCATGGAGGTTCTTTGTCCATGGGTTCTGGGGCGAACACGATACCACGAGTCTGGTTGTTCAACATGTGCGTTCCTAGTACTAGTGCCTGGTCTGAGTCAGGAATGAGGGTATCGATGACAGCACTGACTACATTAGCAGGGCGCAAACGCTCAGCTGAAAGATGGCTAGGATATTGTTCCAGGGCGAAATGTACGCACACCGTGCCTGAACTTCGCTTCTGTGCTCGTCAGGTCTAACGGCAAAGAAAAATGTGACCTATACAATTCAAGAGATGGAAACTGAATCATATCAAATTGATGCAGGCGTCCACTGGCACAGTGAAGCCCAATAGTATATTCAGTACTTGAAAACAGCACCCGACCACTTGACATGAGATTGGTGATGTTTAGTCCTTGTTATAACGCAACGAATATGATGGGGAACAAACTGCGACATTCTGGCCGTTGAATTTTGGCCGAGACACGAACCACCGATGGACATCTCAACGTTCGCGTACTTGCGTGGGATGGCGCTTTCTAGTCGCGTAGAGCCTGATGGCGTGCATGCGGGTTCTCATAGCGCAACCCAGACATCAGATAACGCTGCACACCAATAGTTCCACCGAGCTAGATCGTTTGAATGGAATGCTATAGAGAGGGAAATGCTACTCGAGCATGTTCCCAGAACATTATGACAGATTGAGCAGCTGAGCAACTTTGGACTCTACATCTGACTTGGGGAGGTTATCCACCTCCACGTGCCTCTCTACCCCGCGTTCTGCGAACGGAGAAACATGTTGGTCAAGACGAGCGAGGTTAGAAAGCATAGCCAGTGGGCACACACACCATATCGCGCAAACACTCTCGCAGGCGTTCCCTTCGCCTCCCGTATCAAAATGGGTAGGTCAGGATTATGCTGCTTGAGCACTGGATACGTGGAGGAGATAAACTGCCTATAATATTGTGGTGCGCCTCAAACACAAGGAACACGATACCGGAGGGCATACCAACCTTGTGCCTGCTGATGCTGGTCCTGTTTGGCAGCACAGAATGCGTATTTCCCTGATTGCAGGAGACAGCGCTTTCGCAAAAGACATTGCACCGATAAGGAATGAGGCCCACAATCAAGTATTCGTGGATGGTTGGCAAGTAGAACTTGAAATGACCAGCGAAGGAGAATCCCCGAAACTCAAACAGTTCAACGAATGGCGATCACGTGCCGTACCCTGAACCTGAATCCTGATCATGACAGTCGCTCTTCGCGACCAATTTCGGACCAGTTTGACTGGAGAACAGCTCACAAAGACCCTCTCGCTTTTCTCTGGCATGGCCACGAAGATTCTCTGCAAATGACCGCTCTTTGACACTCTCGTCCGCAAAACTCTCAGCTCGGCTATTTCCGAAAGTGAACCCTGCGTATCCAGGCCAAATATTTGGTCGCAGACTGGAGCGTTCAGCGCGGCGACCACGCGACGACAACATTGGTAGAGACCGCCATGGACGACGACCACCATCGCTACGACGATGGCGCAGACAGCCGCAGGAACAGGTTGCCGTCATTCACAGAGGTCTTGTCTCGGCGGACACGACCCCCGGTAGACCTGTTCATGTTCTAGTGAGTCTACTCTTCGCGTCTTCACAGCGTCTTCACAGGCCCATGTCTTCCCCAGCCTGTTCCTCCAGCGTGAAGGCTCGGAAGATATACTCGATTTCTGGCTTGACGTTCAACAGCATGAAAATCTATGTCGCGCATATTTTAAAGACGTGCGCAAGTCGGGACGAACTATCAGGGAAGATTGGCCGGAGTACTGGGATTATGCGCGAAGGCGCGGATCGATATATGGCACGGTGGTGGGGATGAATCCACAGATGGGCACAAAGCGAAGCACAACGAGTACGACAGACATGCCCGACCAGGATAGACGCAACCTCGCCGGGTACGGCGACGAGAAAGCCGGGCGTAGCCCAAGTCCTCGCATGATGTCGACAACCCCGGCTACCGCCGTAGCCACTGAGCCACCGCGCTCTACGACCCCATTCTCTCTCTCCGGTCGCACACCTACTCTATTCAATATGCGACGTGCATCGCGCGCCCCGACAATAATTCCCCGCACCTCTGCTATCACGCGCCAGAACCTGATAGAATCTGCGGAACGCATATACTTCCGCTACCTGTCACCTGCCGGGACGGTTGGCTCAGCTGAAAACCATGAGATCTACCTGCCGCCCGCCCTCCGAGTACATACCTTTCCGCTGAACAGCTCTCATGAGCCCAAGTCGCAGAGTGACCTCAATATAATGGCACAGATCCCGGATATGTTCCATGCGCAGAAGGAATACTGTTTCCGTGCTATGGAGCAGGATGCGTTTCCGCGATTCTTGCGCGCGAAGGCATTCGGGAATTTGACACCAGTGTCGGCCCTAGTGCGGCTGATTGTGGGGCTAATTATCCTCTGGATCGGACTGGCGGTGGGATTCTCACTCATCTTCCTGGACGTGGAACCTAAGTCTAAGCGCTTCTTCGTGAGTGTCATCGTGGCTCCCCTAGAATTGTGCTAACTTCTGTTGATCAGCTCTTCTTGCCTTACGCCGTTGCCATCCTCTTCTTGATTTCCCACCAGTATGAGCTTGACCCCTTCCTCGTTTTCCTGGGCCAATCAGAGTCTACGCCGTTCCGCACGCTGCCCATTCGTGAACCATATGTCAAGAAGTTGCTGTTTGGGCGAGCGTTGTGGGTTACTGCCCTTGTTGCAGCATGTACGGTTGCGTTGACAATGATTTTCTGGGCGGTTCCCGGCAAGCGCCTATGAGTGGGAGGTGGATGTGAAGTGGGGACTACTCCTGGGCCTGCTGCAGTAAGTAGAAAGCTATCTCTGTCTCGGTCTATTTCGATGCTACGACTGCCTGTTACATCAAATTTGACGATACCTTATACCCTTCAATCATAACCTCGCTGTCGTTCTTTTGCCGCCTTAGGACCTCACTTATTCCATCCACGGATATTCCTTGATTTATGCCTATTACACAGAACAGTCTCGATAATTGTCCAACTACATATTGACTGGGTACACGAAAAGGGATTTTTTGGCGCAGTCAACCTCCTAAGTTTGAGCGAGTCGCAGAGGTGCGTGAGATGAGTTGTACCATCCGATTCCAGACTCTGCCAAATTAAGGTATTATACACGATACGAAGGTAAATGAGTGTAACGATGGAGGATCGAAGGTAGTCTACAACCAACAAGAGAATCCAGGTTGAATAAGTTGCACTCGATGAGCATGATTGTGGGAAGCCGGCATAGATGCCTTGTTCGGCAGAAGTCGACATACCCTACGCGTTGAGCTGTTCATTGGACTGCTGCGCGTTCTCCGCGTAATGCTGCAAGAAAATAAATACATGCAGCGTGGCTCGAATAAGATGAATACACACCGCCCTTTCCTCAGGACTCAGTGCTTTCCAATCCGCAGCACACTGCTTTATAAGGTGCTTGCCAATCTCAATACCGTGCAAGCCTTCTGGTACCGTAATTGTTCTGGAATGCTCCTTGACGTAGCTAATACATGGTGAGTAATGGAGGAAATACGATGATGGCCCACTCACAGGTTGAAGGGACGGATTGGTGTCTTGACCAATCCCTTCAGCTCTCGAGGTTGGGGGACTTTGTGCTTCCCCTCAGCCTTGCGTTGGGCATTGATTGTTTTCAGGACAGTTGGGTCAACCCGTTCAAGATATTCTTTCATGCGCTTGACATATGCCTCACGTTCGACTTGCAACTGATCATTATATTTCTGCCTGGTGATTAGGGGCTTTTATGTTGAGAACCGTGCTATTGGCGAATTACCTCTTTCTCGTAGTCAGACAGTGTCTTCCAGTGAGCGGCAGCCTCAGATGCAATGACTTTTGCTTTTGTACCCTTCAGAGCTGCATCCGCGCCATACTGCCTGTAATAATCCGTAAAGTATAAAGCATATATGGAAGGCGCTCCTTTCGGGGGCAAGTCCGCTTTAGCGATCTTTGTCGTCGCTGGTATCCTGACATATCAGCAACAGGTAACGCTAGTCAGTATATCAAACGTACCCTTTTTTGAAGGTATACTTGTCTCAGAGTCTTTCGCCTTCTTAGCCTTAGGCACACTCGCCTTCCTAGTTGTTTTCTTGGTTGGCTTTTCAGCCTTCTCAGCTTTTGTTCCCGCAGACCTCTCTTGTATCATTTTGGTAGGAGCATTCGCCTTCGCTCGAGACAAAGACGAGGTTGCGGTTGTCAAGAATGAACGCGTCTGCGTCTGAAGCGACGTGATAGGGGAACATCTCGAGGACGCCAGCGTGCTTACGCGTAGAATAGCGCGTTGCCCCACGTAAGAAAACATAATTTGGATAATCCGGAGCTGGATGCGCAAGTGAGGTCGTGATACAGACGTTGAATTTCTGAGCAACAACGGCGCGCCTCGACGCATCGTCACGAATATGGGTGTTTGCGCTTATTATGCAACAGCTTCTACACATTTCCACTTGTGGAAATTATGCGACAACGCCCACAACTTCTTCTCGTACCTCGCGACTGGTTCGTAGGCCTCATTAGCGAGTCTGTCGTCGACACTTACGACTTTTCATAGTTCCAAAATGACCTCCGCTCCACACAATGCTCGTCTGAGCTTCGATCCATCGGTACTTCCTATTGCGCAGTTGGAATCGCTAAAGTTCAAGGCGAACCAAATGATCGAGTCAATACAGCTCCTTCAGCGAACGATCGAGGTCGGTGGACAGAATGTAATGCCTGCGTGGCCGGATATATTATCAAAATACAACATTCTACTCTCGCAGTCCCATAGTCTTTCTATGTCGTTGCTTGGACCGGGCCACAACACGACGTCTTCACAGACACCAGGGAATCAATTCGAAAGACTGGCACTTCATCCAAGAGTAGCGATGACAGACCAACAGCTCGACAACGAGCTCATCCCACTCCTCCGCAATCAACAGACGACCGATGTGCTCAAAATAGAGAATGATATCGTGCGTCACCTCTCTGAGCATATGGAAACCAAGGGCTCCGTGGGCGTACTTAATCAAAATGCAAATACAAGTGGTAATGCGCTAGGGAGGCGGCCTGAGTATGAAGATGTTCTGCGCGAGTGCGAGCAAATTCGAGCCGAGCATGATGAAAGGATCGACCGGGCTGTACGGGCAGTCTCTATGCTTCGCGAGAAATACGACTGGAAAGCTCGTGTTGCTGTCGACCAGGAGGAGCCCGAGGAGCTTGAATGGGATCCTCGCTTGGATGCTGAGCCTTCGGGTCAAGCGCTTCCGAATCGTGCTGGCGCTCGAGGCGAGAGCGAAGATACTCCAAACGGAAGGCAAAGCAATGATAGCGATGAAGAGGAGGAACTGGAAGAGGTGCTTGGGAACGGGGACGACCAAACACCCGATGCTACACCTGGCGCAGGAGCGCCCCCCGAGATGGCCGGGAAGTAGCTGATTATCGACCATGGCATGTTCCTAATCCGAAAAAGAAGGACTAATTGTGAGCAATTTCTGACAGAGCTTGGCGAGCATTAATACCTCCGACTAATTGCGGCGTGAATAGATGGAGATATGGGTGTTAGTCGAACTCTCACATGGGTATATTCCACCACTGTGGTCTACGACGCCTCCCATCCACATATCCGAGGCCATCTTACCACGACTTTGGACTGCACTATCTGATATCCGACTGGATTGAGTCAAACTTCCTTCCCAACGGGGAGGTGTCTGGACTTGTGCTATAGGAATTGATTTGCTGCGGACATCTTACACAATTCGCGGCCACCGCGCGTTTACTGTGACATTCTTCTCAGCCATGGGTGTTGCATGACGATTTCCCGAAGTCGAGGTCATAAGCTTGTCATGAAGTTGCATCGCACGTGAGGTCTCGCAGGGAGTGTGTGGAAAAGTGCTAGAGATACGGCGGTGTGTGGTGAGTCTTTGAGTCTGTCTGGCTTCTACGGCTCGCTTTGTATCACCCAGATAGAGTTAGCTGTATTCTCAAGCTCTACATTGCATCCTTCTTGGCAGCATGCTATCCTCCAGAATTCCCTGTCACTTGCGGCGTGATTTTATATCTTCAGAACGTGTTAACCGACGCAAGCCATCAATTGTTTGACACGTCGTAGAACCCGCTGCAAGTCCGCATTATCTGGCGGTCACGATATGATATGGCGTGCCTTCAGCTCGCGCTCTGCGCTGATGTGGTGAGTGTCTCTTCATCTGAGTCTCACGCAGTTGTGTGCACCGTCGTTGTATCTGGCTCCAGCATGCTTCAGTGGTCACATTCTCCGACGATAAGATTGTCACCTCATGCTGCCCCCAAAACGACTAGACATACGAATATCAGTCACAGCGTGTTGCGAGTCACTCGCTCGCTAGTATCTCAGGCGTCGGTCTCGTGCTCTGGACCGGAATCAATGTCATTCTATCAGTCCGCTCTATACGATGAGGTGAGGGGTGGCGTTCTATGTCATGTGCTAGACCTTTGTGAGCGGCTGCGGTCACACCTTCAAGTATGTTGTGCCTACAGCGTCCTTGCGGGTCCGATTAACTTCCTTTGAAGCGGCTCCGCGGATTAATATGTTTGTCGATCATCTCATGGGAACAAGCTATATGGGCAGCGGCCTTTTCATCCCGCTGGGCCTCACATACTAGGGCGCTGGAAAATATTTCTGGTGTTTGTCTTTCCCATTAATGGTGAACTTCATACATCATACTTCTGATGCTCTTGGAAGGACCTGGTTCAGAACATCGTGCCACGTACCCACCCATTCTTGATGCATTCTCGGCTATTTCTTATGGGAATAGGATATTGAGGCAAATATATCGCAGTCTATCGGCGGCGCCAAGATATACTCCCTATTGGTCCCCCCGGAGACTTATTTATATAAGCTAGCAGATCGGTTAGTGTGAATCGCAAGCTGAGTTAATTATACTGAATCGTAGACTCAGATGGTACTTCAAGATTGCCGTATCCAGATTTCCTTTCACAGTCCGACGGTTATCACTCGTCGTGCATGTGCATGCGACTCTCCGGTATTGTATATAGCGGCGAATCTTCTGAAAACGCTCATGAGGTACCACAGATGTTTCTGAGCTATGTAAGAAGCATGCACATATTCAAATCGAATACGTCTTATAGTCACAGCAACGCGCTGCAGACAGAATCAAATAACTTACTGACTTTGAAGACCTCGGTGATAGTTCGGCGGCGCCAGCTTGTATATTACCCACACCTCTTCTTCTCTGAGATGAGTGGGATCCCCCGCTGTCATGTGCTGAGAATTTTATTTGTCAGACAGCCTGTGTCACTCAAGCACTTTAAGTCTCTAGGTAAGTATTTGCTATATGTCACGAGCAGACGCGACTGACTCGTAAGCAGATTAGATACAGTGCCAACAGGTCAGTCCCATACGTTTCATGTTCTTCGTATCAAACCACTGATTGAGCTTGTTTAAAAATATTGTAGAGGAGATGTCTACTGGAGATTGAAGCTTATCGTTTTAGTCATCGAGCACGCCCTCGACCTCAGAGTTCGGGGCCGAATGAGTAGTGGTATTAATGGATTAGTATCTCTTCGAGGCGAGAACCCTGAAAGCAGATTTCATATAGGTACACGCCCGCTATTTACAATCTGCGTGGAGTGAATGGCTGTCAAATGTGGCGCCCTACATGGGTGAATATTGTTTCCGAGGCGGATAACTGATTTTCGTGAAGCAAATCACTACTCATGGGGAGGACTCAATAAGGGAACGGCTTTGGTATCGGGGGCGTCTTGGAATGAGCCAGGTAAGTATGCACTGCGCGGTAATAAGTGCGAAGTTTGAATATAAGCGAGTGCTGATCGTGACCCGACTTCACACGGGATTGGCATGTGCGATCGAATTCGCAGTGATCCGGTCAAGAACACGGGCGTCGACGCCGAGTTGGCGGAAACCGCGCATCTTTCTTCTGGCATCGCATCGCATAGGTGTTCGGGGACGAGTACCAACTTAGACGAGTCTGGGTGGTCAGGGCGCTTTTCAGGATGCACTAGTGGGGTCGCTCATTTAAACTACGAGGACAGCAACAAGCAAGCTATAGCTCTAGACACGATACCAGGAACACTCTGGGCCCACGAGTCGCGTATGAAGATCCCTATGCGGTCGTATGCTCGCCTGAGCGGCTCCCCACCCACACTGTCGTGTGAATTCACTGAGCCAGATAGCTACAGACCAGTAGATTGTCTTGGTGACATTGGTAGGATGCTACTGACCCTCACGATACATTATCACAAGCGTGCGGCGCAGCTGCTCCATAGCGCCAAGGGCTGATGGACTTGCATCCAATCGTGGAGTTGTCGGTCTGTGGAGAATGGGGTTTCGCACACATCATCCGTTAGCAGCCACCTGACGCACTCGACTTGGCTTCCTTCTTTACCGTTCAAGTAGTGAGTGTCACATTTTTCATGCAGGCCGCCACGCTTTTGTCGGAGTGTCTAGATGTCCAGATAGACCGATACCGGGTCTCCCGCCACATTGTGGCAATATATGGAGGATGCACATGGTACAGCATTCTCCGTCCGATTTGTAACGGGGTTATAATTCTGGCTCTCCGATCATAGGAATTCATACTCAACATTACAACCACATCTCTCCGTCACGTTGACAGGTCCTGCGGCCCTCGGCCGCTTATGTTTGCATGTCGCAGCATAAGACAGGCCAGAGGCAACCCAGACCTAAGCGAGCGCTATCGTCGCCATGGAAGGATCCCAGGATATCAGATAAATATCCAGATACATCTATCAGATTAGATAAGCCGTCAAGGTTACATCTCCTGGGAACCGTCGGGCAGCTCAAGCCTTAGGTGGTTTGGGCCACATCGCGTGGAATCTTTACCTGCAAAAATGCATTGCGAACCGCCGGGCCACAGGAAATGCTCCGAGGACCGACGCATTGTATAACCCGACTATGGCGGAATCTCGGCGCGCATCTACTGCCGTGTGTGCACAGACTTGGGGACAAATGCCACGCAGGCCGTCCGTTGATGAGGTTGTTGCCAACGTAGTGGGACAGCTGTCTCACGTACTGAAAGTTCTCATGTGTGAGTAAAACTCCCATGCTGTCGGGAGGGATACACCGGCCTCATTGGCAAGGTGAGTTTCAGCCTCATGCCGTACATGTCGTGACTTCTCAGGACTCGCCGCGCAATCAGAGTACGAGACTACAACAATGTCATTGCCCCTGATATGATCATTCTGGGCCCGGATGATGAGCATGTTGGACACGGTTCGCAGTTCCCATACCTGTACGCCGCTGACGGTAGCTTTACCGCGATAGGCTGTGGCTTCATTGCGAATATGGTTGATTGACTTGGGCAGCTCCCTCACCGAGCATTTCTCGGTTTCAACATCTCCGGTACATCGCCATCATGGGAAAGCGACCACATTGACCACATATAAACCCACCGCAGTCCACTGCATGTGTAAGGGATTTTTCTGACCCTCCCTCTGGACCCTTCAGGTGCCCTCACTTGGCCGTTGGTCTTGTCGCCATCCTCTTTCCTGATCCGACATGACTGCTTCCACCTCGTCCAAGGTCAAGGTCACCGATAAGACCTTGCGCGTCGAGAGAGCGAAGGAGTATCCACAACAAGTCTGGTACTTAATTGCCTGCTTCATTGCGACTGTCGCGCTTTTCCAGTTCGTGTCCTGGGCCGTGACCAAGCTCACGAAGAAAGCGCCTTCGTCGGGTGATGCAGAGAGCGGTGCTCGGGCCTCCCGCCGCGGATTCTCGATTCGCCACATCCCCCGTGCAATCATAAATTTCTACAGGGTGATTGCCTTCCGCTGGACGTTACAGATCGGCAGCTCGTACACTCTCAACCTTGCCGAGGTGTTCGTCATCTGCGGATATACAGCCGCTCTTTTTGTGTGGGAGTTCATAAATAGTGAGTCGCCTCCGCAGGGGCAGGAGCACAAGTGCTAATGTTGACGTCCTTCAGCTACCGACCTCGAAGGGCAAAAATTCGATCTTTCGTATTGGGGCAACAGGGCAGGCACCATTGCTTCCATTCAATTTCCCCTTATTACCGCCCTTGGAACAAAGA